CCCCCACCGCTCTCACCGCCCCGAGCTGCTAGTAGAAGTGGCTTGTGGCTTGCTTTCAGTGGTGCCAGCAGCAGTGGTGGCTTCTGGTGCGCCATGTATTCCACCGCGCTTACCGCCTGCAACTGCCAGTAGAAGTGGCTTGTGGCCTGTTTTCAGTCGTGCTAGCAGTGGCGTCCATTTATTTGCTGTACTATACTAGAAAGAGTATTTAAAGGCTGCCAATGCGTGCCCGCGCCCCCCCGCACCCACACCGCCCTCACCGCCCCCGCCACCCCCCCACCACCCCTACTGCCCCCACCGTTCCCACTGCCCCCACCCCTAAAGGCTGCCCCGCCCTCACCGCCTTTGTATTTAAATTTAAAGTATTTAAAGGCTGCCAATGCGTGCCCGGACCCCCCCCACCCACACCACCCCCACCACCCCCACCGCCCCCACCGCCCCCACAGCCCCCACCGCCCTCACCTGATCTGCTGCTGCCATAGGCTTTGGGTTGTTTTGCGGCGTAAAAATTTAGAGTTTAAGTCCAGCTTGAAGCTATGCGGCGTTGAAGACAGTGCTGCAAAATAGCTGCTTGTCCCTTGCTAAGGCCTCGAACACTTTTCACCCGCTAACACAAAAGCCTGCACACGCTTGCAAAGCCCTTTTGATTCTGAAGGCCATCCTCCCGAAACACAAATTTACCCGCCGGAACCGCATTCTGACGGCAGAATTTCGGATTTGAGCCTTCAGCTTTGCAGTTTTTCCGTGCCAAAGAAGTCTATAGCCTACGCCGTTGCTTGGCCCTTTTCAATAGACATGCATAATGCATCGCGCAGGCTAGTGTCTTCGTGCTCTTGCAGTCCTAGGATTGTAGGGGCGCCAACGCGCCATCAACCATGTCAACTTCCTTTACTCATTACAGGAAGCCAAGAACGGGGTTTGCACGCTGGAGCCAGACTGGGCAAGGTGAACCTGTTCAGCATCTTTCGAGAGTCAGATTTAGTGAGAAAGGGAGTCGTTGGACAGCACGTATATTGCTAGACCTTTGCGTCGGTCTGTTCGATTTTCAAGCACCATCGTAGCACGTGGCTAAGCTTTCGACCTGCTCTCCGTAGTATGGAACTGGTGCCTTGGATCCCAAGTGAGCGCTGGCATAGCTAGATGCTGGTAGTCACGTTCCCAAGCCTCGCAGGCATAGACGCGGAGCTCATGGGGAATGATTAGTGTCACCACCTGGCAGGCCGAAATCTGAAACCAAGTGCAAAGTTCACGTGCAAGCCCCGATGAATTGGGACTTGCACGAAGAATGAGGGACAGGCATTCTGCAGATTGCACACGGTGGCCCTGCCACCAGAAGAGAAAGACTGAAATACTCCTTTTCGCAAGCACATTGTCACCGGGAATCGCCTCGTGAGCACAAAGCAAACTTCGCCGCATGTGCCTCCAGATGGAGCCCAGGAAGGAGACACGACTGGTGTCCCAAAGCGCCTGGGAAATTCACAAAGCTCCGCAGCCTCCACACACACCGGAGAAACCCTTAGGGTGCCGTGCCTGTGCACCCAAAAAGTGCCACGGCAGCTCCGCAAATCCTCCGGCCAAGGCGGCCTCGAAAGGACGCACGTAGAGGACAAGCACCGACTTTCGCTGCGCGACGCGCTGCGTGAAGATTCACGGACCTTATCCAAGTCGGCGCGGTGATGCCTGTGTGGCAGATGCTCACGTTTTGTCAGAAGACACCAAACTGCAAGTCTCGTACAGCTTGGCACTTCCCTGTCCGAATTTAAACATATGAACTACTACTCCGCTCATGTGCCTTGAGAGCTCCAGGAAGTGCAGAAGCACTGCCACAGCCATCAGCCAACGCCAACTGAACAAGCAGGAGGACACGTGCACACAAAGCCCGCAGACTTTTGTCGTTTCGTAAGGGCTTGTTCCGCCGCGCAATGTATGTGCTCTTGGCCCACCCTCGCCGTGAAATTCAGATTGCCCCTGTGGATCGACACAGAAAAGAGTGTGCACCTCCCTGGTCCTGGTCCAGCTGGCCCATGTTTTGTGTGCAGCGCCACCGGTCACAATCACTTACACTGTAAGGTCACCCCCGTGCCTCGACTCGAAACATGCTTCAGGACTTGCAGCATCTTGCAGCTGCAGTGGCATGCACCGCTCCCCGACATGTCTGACGGATGTCCTAGGAGAAGTTGCGTGTAATGTGGGCGGGCGCAGGAATAGAACTTCGACCCTCTCCGACCCGGAGCCTTCGGCCTGCCCTCTCTGGACTCTCTGAGGTCAGGCGGGAGTTCGGCCGGTGCTCTTCGACGGCACTGCCGTCGTAGGGGCCTCGAGCTTGTGACAAGTGACTTAAGATCCATCTCCCTTTTGAAACAGGAGCAGCTTCGTCGCTTCCACGAAATGCTGCTGGGCTGCTGGGCAGCCAGGACTTGGGCAGGGTCATTTCTTTTTTCGTTCGCAAGAGTAAGAGGTGGAGAAGCGACCTCCACGCCCGCGCTCCAGGCGCCCCCTATTTGTCTCTCGCTCTCTCCTTCCGTCCACCCTCCCTTCGCAATAATCGACTCAACAATGTACCCGAACAGAAAGGTTCATTTGCACCTGTCATCACACCCGCCTGGACAGTCCGCAAGCAACGAAGCTCATGACCGCGAAACAGAAGGCTACACCTGACCGCGGCGTCTTGCAACAAAGATTGGCCTGTGTGCAACATGGACAATGAAACTACGAAGGGACGGACTCGAATCCCCAAGCTGCCCAAGCTGCAAGGAACCCGAAGCTGCCCAGACCCTTGGGACAGCCGTGGAATACTAGAGCTGGGTATAAGCCACTGCGCTTGAAGCACCGGTGCATCTTGCAAACACATCGAAAAGTTGCCCACACTGTCTCATTTCAACAGGACCGACATGCCGAATATGTATCAGGCTATGCCTGGCGATGAGCTGCTCAACAACCAAAGTTCAAAGCAGGCCATGAAAGACCCGAGTCGTTTTGCAAACCTGACCCTGCGCACTCCAGCACAGGCCGCATAGTTTGTCCGTAGCCGTAGCCCGAGCGCCCAGCAGCGTGTGGCAAAGCGGGACGAACAGCGAATGGCCTCGAATCTGCAGGCTGTCTGAGTAGCATGGAGGCCGGAGCCTCTGATGCAAACAAGTCGCCACATCCAGCACACCACACATCGCGAACAGCGAGGCTAAGCTGGCGAAGAGGAGGAGACCTGGAAGACTCTTCGATAATCTCCGCAATGATGCTCGATGTGAGAGAAGCTGGTTTCGAAACTCGATTATGCTCAAAGGACAAAAGTCAGTGGAATTCAGCGCGGCAAAGACCTTTTGCCGCAGCACAACGCTGCAGGCCTGGAACCGTTAGATGCGTCGTCAGGAAAGGCACAGCTGGAAGACCGCTGCAGATGCTTAGCTTTAACACAGATGCCCATGCTGACGGCTCCGCGATCAAGCGTTTCCGACAGATATTACAATGTGTGAACCGTGACAATCCCGTCTCGTCTGGAATCTGCTATGACATGAACAGAAGGAAAAGTGCGCGACTATGCCGTGGATGCAGTCTGCGACACGGTTACGGGAGTACATGTCTGAAACTGTATGGCTGAGAACCACACCCTCCAAAAAATGATGACTATAACTCGACATGACACGTGCAAGTTGTGCACATCCTCAACGAGGGTCGCACCGGCTCTCAAAGGTGATGCCTAAGCAGTGCAGCTTCGACTTCGCGACTGTCACACTGCAAGAGCCCGCAAGCCTAAAGTGCGCGCAAGAACTGCGCAACTCACCGAACTACATGCTCCAACTACCTGCGCAAGCAATGGCGACACGACCCGAGTGCACGGCAAAGAACTGCAACAGTTCACTGGAGTCCGGCTGCAGCGCAATGTACACCCCAACCTGGATATTTGGACACTCTTGACTCGATTCAACAGTCGAGCTGGCGACAGGGACTTCATGTCGAGCTTTGCTATTCGGACTGAACCCGAAACCAATCTAGGCTCCACTTGTTGAGCCGAGCGCTATGCTGATTCGGCATCCTGACATCTGAAGCTTAAGAGCACTGAACAACAAACTGTGCAACTCGGAGCTTTAAGCGGAGCCGGAACAGATTCCTGAGCCCTCGGTCTTTGTCCCTCCAGAAACCGTTGGTATCACCACGGCCTTTTCGAGGTTTGAATTGCACTGATGTACAGGTTTGGCTTAAACAGGTTGGACCCCCAACAAAAAGTCATGTGAGACAAGTCCCCACATGTAAACACCAGATCCACGGGTGCACGTGGCAAAGTAAACATGAATGGAGCATGGCGAGCTACAGATTAGGCTTTCGGAGGTGTATTGATCTTATTTACTTAGTGAATCATCGTACATTTTGCGTGCAGAGTACAAGCGTCTTCGGACCCTCCCCCACTCCAAGTCAACCTGTTTGAAGGTAGGTATTTCCACGCTTCGTTAAACTTAGTCCAATTAGCAGTACAGGCAGTCGTCGTCAACGCTTTCCTGTTGCCTCTGCGTTGTCCGCGTCCTCACACTAGTAATCAGTCATCAGCGCGGCCACCCGGGGCTGCCGTTTCTCTCAACAGTCCCCCGCGAAACGTTCATAAAGCGACAACTCAATCTAGCCGTCGTCAGACGCAAGCAACCAATGTTTGACCTCGCGGCTGAAACAGCTTGAGAGCTCCGACCGAGTCTCGAAGCCTGTTAGCTCAACCCAATGTGAGAACCGAGTTTGCGACCCCGGCAGGGGCGTAGAGTGCCATGAGGATCAGGGCCCTCCTTACGGCCGCGCCGTGGCCCGCCGCCAGCCGCCTCGGCCGAGATGACGTGGACTCCCTCTCAAGTACTTCATTCAAGGGCGCAAACACGGTGAGCACGATGAAGCCCACACAGGCCATACACCAACGCCACGGGACGTAGACGCCTGAAAAACAGCGGAAGGGTCACAGAGCTGCGGCCCTCCAATCTTCTTCTGCTACAAAACATGGAAAGGCCGATGAAAAGAGTTGCACCTTCATCGAAGAAATGGGAAGAATGCAGGCCTCACAACACATGAAGTCGTTTTGCACAGACCTATTTCTGCCCCAGCCTCGATCGTACCAACTGAGGACGCACAGAAATACGGGAAGCACCGGTGGGCTAATGGCCTGAATCATGTGGGCATGTTCGTTGTTTTGCGGCTGCATACGCCGCGCTCAAAGGGGCAGGCTGGCGACAACAAGATCTCCACAGCAAGAAGACCCATAGAGATCCTTTCAAGACCTGGGAGTTGCCAGGCTGTGCGTCACTTGCTTCATTTCGCGACACAACATGACACAACTTCACCGCTTGTTGCCATCGCCGAACCAGCGGTCACAGAGTGGCCATCTCTGACAGCAGTCTCCCGATGCTACTCACTCTCATGAAGATCTTGCTAGATGGCATGCTGTGCGAGAGGTCAAGACATTGCCAAAAGTGTTCTTCTTTCTGTCGCTTGGGCAGTCGACCAGGAGGAGTAGCCCACGATGTTGTTGGTGCTCTACCAAGCAGCATGCAATGAATTTTTGGAGTGTTGCTACTAGTTGCCAGTTGTGGGCCATATCTCTGCTCGCACCGTTGAAATCGATGGTGGCACAGGGCCGCTGCGTCGAGTGAAACAGTTCATCAGGTTTCATCCATGTGGTCAGCCATGCCGCAGCGCCGATGCCGGCATAAGGAGATTGAACCGATGTTTGCTGGAAGCCACATAGGAGGAATGTCGCACTGCCCACTCCTCTAATGATCTCGTCCTGTATGTTTGGCTCACTCTGGCTCGGCTGGCAGTCATCACCCGAAGTCGATTGCCCCGCATGCCGTCTAGAGTTTGCTGTCTACTGAGTGCCCCAACCTTGGGGTGCAGCTTCTCCGAGCAGTGCCCAGCTGGAGGAGGCGGCGCCCGGAATGACCGCGTAAAGGCCAACGAAGCAGAGCGCCTTCCATGCAGCCCCCACATCCCAGCACGCAACAAGCCCAAGCGAGACCCGAGACTGGCACGATGGCATGAGCACGCCTAAGTCACTATGGCTGGGCCGCTGAAATCCACAGATCTGCCACGTTCAGAACTCAGGCAAACACCAACACCAGCCAGTGCTGCCAGAGGTACCAATGCGGCGACTCACAAAGATGCTCGGAACCAGAAGAGTGCATCTGTTGGGGGGCTCGGCCTGATGGGCAGGACGAGACCAAAGGCCGCAGCCTCGGGCACCATTCTTATTGCGCATTGCACGGGCCGCATGGGGGACGTAGGGCGACTTGCTCTGAGGCAGCGCGACGCAGAGCCATAGAAACAACACCCGAACTTCGGCGCGTGTGCAGAGCACCGCTACGAGGAGTAGGACTGAGCAGGATCCCATTAAAGGCGTCGTATGTCGGGCAGCATTTACCTGTCGGTACAGTTGCAGACCCAAGGAAGCAGTAGCTTGAAGTATAGCATGAAGTATTGCAATGGCGAGCCTGGAATACAACATCAAGACTCAAGACAGCTTGGGTCTTCCTACTCGTTTGGGTACCCCTGTACGGTCTGTACGTCGGGGGGGATGAAGACAGTCTGAGTCTCTGGTCTCGGGAACTTGGAGGCGGAAAGTCGTGAAAGAGGGCTTGATTCGCGACATGCATTGAAGGCATTACAAGTCGGCAAGCCTAGAGCAGATAATAACCCACAGCATGCATCGTACGCAAAACGGATACTGGCCACTAGCCAAGTAACTCATGACGCCGAACCTCTCCACCCTCATCAATCTTCTTCACTGCGAATTTCATTTACAAAGATCCTGCAGCTATCTGCAGGTGCACACTCCAAGATACCGGCGCCGACTGCAGCCAGAAGCCCACAGAGTGGACCAGGCCTCGAAACCTGCAAAAATCTGACAGCTGACGACAGCCCACATTCCACCTCTCGCGGCACGGTCTCCTCCGAAAACACTTGAAGGTGCTGGAGGAAAACCTGAGGGGAAAGCATGCAAACAGAAGTCGGCGCGAACCGCAAAGCCCCCGACACTGAACTTGCCGCGCCTGCAAACCGATCACACCAAACACCAAGCTCGGCAGGGCAAACTCGGTCAAAATCAGGCAATGTATCAAGACAAGCGCATTCAGTGGTTGGAAACTAGCAGCACACGATCAGAGAGCCTTTCTGCGCTCGACTAAGTGCGCGACCAGCAGCAACCTCCGAGGATGGCGCAAGCAACGTAATGTACACACTGGATAGATTCTGCTTCTTCCTCACATAGTGAGGATCCAAAATCCACGAACGAATTTACCCAAGCTCCACCACAAGGGCTGCAGTGCCTGAAATCAATCCACATGCAGGGACGTCTGACATCTTCTATTGGGGGGTTACGGCTGTCGCGATTTTGGCTGAGAGACGACAGATTCTGCCAATGAAGTGGCAGGACATGTTGATCATATTGCAGGGTTTCTGGAGTTCTGACATGCTTGACGGGCCTTCACAAGGCCCGGCAATCCCATGCTGCCACAGGAAATTAAAACCGAGAGTTGTTCACGTCGCTCACAGGTCGGAGGATGGCCGCCCAGCTTCCGCACGACAGGACGCTGCCGTCCACTCCACCGGACGCATGAGCATGCAAAAGGTTGCCAGCAACAGACTGACAGTCCTTGATATACGAAGTGCACATGAGAGTTAACAACATGCCGAAATTCAACTTGCTGCAGCTTTCGATACACTGCGACCAGAACAGTATCGGGCTTCTGTTGGAGCGCAGGTGCTTGTCGAGCCTTCGCATGGCATCCTCCTCCACTGGATGCTCGTAAATGCCTTTCGCTGAGAAGTCTGATAATGACTTCAACATGTGCACATATGTGTACGGGTTGCACTCTACTGGTTCTCACTGAGGCAGCAGCGGTACTCTCGGGGGGGTAGTCTCAAAGCTCCAACCTCGCAAGCTTGAATCTCCCGGTCTGCGATGCGACTCCGAATGGGGGCACTGGCCTGGTATTTTGACACAGACGCCTCAGGTGCAATAAGAACAGAGAACTCTGAGACTTGCTTGACAAGTGCTGTAGGCTGTGGCGAGAGAAGAGTGGGTGGCCGGGCAAACCTTCGCACAAAGTCAACTCTCCTGCTAATCTAATTTCGTGACCTTCTGCTTATTGCTCCCCTACGCAGAACTCTGCTACGGGACCGTAGCTTTCGAGCGAGGCTACGTAAGTGGCTGCCTGGCGAAATTCTGCAGTTGCATCCTTGCCTCTGCAACAGAAAAGAAGAAAGAGCGACTTCATTTTTCTTGCTCCCATCGTTGAGAGGCGAGCCTGCGACTTGCCGCAGCACTTCTACACCTGCCGAACAGAATCTGCTTTGCACTTTACACTGCGGGCGAGCCACATCTGCAAGAAAAGACCTCCGGGATGTTCGTTCCAAAGCCTGACTTAAAGTGAAAGATCATGCGAGACACGTGACATCAGAACACATAGGCGCCGACGAGAGGTCGTAGACAACACCTTCGATGGCGAGCCTCGGACTGCGGATGCAACTCGGACCACCTGTGGCCTCATGGTTGCTGCGAAGCTAGCTTGGCCTACTGCCGAGATCTGCTACCACGTTTCGAAAGGTGAGGCAGCGCGCGAAACTGGGTGCAGCCGCCAGAGGAAGCCGCTCTCCCCTTTCGACGACAGAACCTCCAAAGGCCAGATAGAGCTGTCGTGATGAACAGAGCAATGGGATATGTTGAGCTCATCACAACATCCACATGCTGATCTCGAGTACATCCCACGGCAAAGGTTTTTTCTTGACCGTGAACAACTTGAACATAGATGTCTCCTTGCTCAGGTGCCGAGACTCTTGGACAAGAGGCCGTACCTGGCGCCTCTTTTAAATGGCCAAGTGCCAGCAAGGCCGTAACCCGCAGAAACGGGAAAATCGGCGCCATAGGAGCTAAATTCGCAGACCTCATACCTTCGCGATTTATTCATTTGCACCTTTTGCGTGCCACCCGCCGTGTAATGAATGGCTTCTCTGCTCAACACTGTTGCAGGGATCTGCATCTTGGGAGGTTGTGTGCAAAGGTGCAAAGTACACGCACTAGGAGGACCGAAGGCCACAGGTGCTCAAATCCAAAGGTTGCAAATGCACATCCCGACTTCCAGCATCTTCCAGCATTTGCTGGCTGCCACATCAAGTACCAAGACCTACAGCCCCACTAGGCTGCGGGCAGCTACACTTCACTTCGTAAACAAGAACGGAAACCGGCTGGCTCCTGTTCTTGAACCATTGGGCCTCTCAATATGCCAATGCGACACAGCGAATTCTCCCTGAGCAAAATGGTTCCCCGTCGCTTCTGCACCCTCACGCAAGTGCAAAGCGGAGGCAGGCTAAAGTGGTACAGTGCAATAATCATGGATGCAGACTTGGGAACGCCATCCCAAATCGGCAGTCACACATCCCGGCTAAATTGTCTCATGCCCGGCATCAGGGATCTGCCGACCTGACAAACACGAAGCCCGTGGAAGAACGAGCCTGCTACCTTGGCACGAGATGTCAGCCGGCTCTACAGTACTAGAGTTACTAGACAGTTTGAATGCGCAGAGTGCAAGCCTCCGGCGATGGTGCGTTTATCAGACCAGGAAAACGGTTCGGCCATCCAGCCGAAAACCCAGAAGCAGGCATGAAAATCAAGCCTTCAGCTGTCCAGGACTGGAAATGCACATTCATGGAACAAAGGCTCCGGTCATGGAGCGTAGATGCGGACTTGCAGATTCAGATCGCTTCTCCAGCTAGTGACATCCTTCCGGAGACCCTGCCGACTTAAAAAAAGCACCCAATAGTACTTTGAGCTTTCATTGTGCTCTACAACTTGGGCCAAGGTACTGCCTGTCTCAAACTGACTCTGACTAAACTCCTTTAGTAGCGCTGCTGCCAGCTGCGTTGCATGTGCTGAACTAGACGAGGTTGGACACCTAGTTGTCTTGGATGAGCTGCTTAGCTGCTTGCTACCGACTCATCCAGGCTGGTCTCCAGAAGGGAACCGAGAGGCACCCCGTTCGCATGCGAAGTTCCTGCAGAGCAAGGAACACCTCGGCACCGGAAAAAACGTCAAAAGACTAGCACGGCAAATACCAGTCATGACGCTTTGATAGCTGATAAGATGCTCTTCGTGAGAAATCTTGGTTCACCCTGCGGCCAAGAGTTGCAAGGCCTGGCAGTCGAAACAAAAGCCCGAAGTTCGTGTAAGTTGAAAAAGGCACCTGAGATAATTACTGTATCTCCGCATCCCGTGGAGTGCTGCTGCCTGCCACGACTGTAGAAGAAGATGCACGTGTAGAGCAGGAAATGACGGAAAACCACAGGCCACTGCGACATTCGTAACTCTCACGGCTCACAAGACCACTCTGTCGGTACAGCCTGCACAATGCCATAGCCTCATTGCGATTCAGACAACGAGCCTTGGACGGCAGGTCATATCGTCGACGTGAATGTCGTCGCTCTTGCCTCAACTCCTGCCGCTACAATGCAGTACAACGCTTGGAGAATCTTACCGTGTATCACGGAGCAATGGAACATGGCTGACCATCACCACATGGAGCGACTTGCGTCCTTTCTGAACGTGGCTATCAGAGGCTCCATTCCTGGAAGCATCGGGACCCGACAAACCTTTGGCTTCGTTTCTGCAGTGTTATCGCGCTATGCATATCAAGTGTAGATCTAGCCTGCGTCTTTGCCAATCTGAGCGTTTTCCATTTTCGTGGTCTTGGCCTTGACTCGCTGCTGGAGGAGCACGGTCAACAGTTCTGCCTGCAGGTTACAGTCAGACGGCCAGGCAACGGGATCTCATGCAGTCCTCTGCATCTTGTCCGCCGCTGCACGGGAATGGGGCACATGGCAGAAGTGGCCTCCAACCACAAACGACATGACATACAACGCAAGCGCTTCATTGCATGCCCGGCTTCAAACAAGCCCATGGCATGAGAGCTCGTTGCGGCACTGCCCTGCCATGAAGAAAAGGCACGGCCGACGACCTTGGGACTCTTGGACGCCGCGAGTGCATGAAACTACGTTGACTCCGATTGAACCTACTGGGTAGTGGTACTAGTATACTTGCGTAGAACCCGTTGGTCTAGCCGTTTGATCTGCATTGCTTCGGGAGAGCCCCATACATCGCGCGATGCTCTATGATCCTCGGCTCAAACCATTCTCCTCAAAAAAGATCCACAGATGCTAATGTTGACACAACATGCTGTCCTCTGTACAGACTTCCAGTCACTTAAGCCCGATCGTGGGAAGGCCTGGTCCGGTCGGAAACTGCCGGAACCTTCTATAAACCCTTTTGGGCCCGAAGGACAAGGACATTTCCCGAGACTCTGACAAAACTCCGGGTGGCCGAGGCTTCCTGGATTTCCCTCTTTGCCCACCTCCTCGCTCCACTCTGTCGCCGGTACCTCTCAAGTTCCGAACGTGAGGCCTGCGCCTGCGGCCTGGAAGCCACCCACTGTCCTCGTCGTCATCACATGCGGAGAAGCTGCATGTTGCCGAGTCGGCGAGGCCAGCGACGTATTGCTTCACCTTACAGAAACTCCCTGTCCCTGTCACGATCCACAATGCCGGGCACTTCTGCTTAAGCTGGCCTTTCGGATCTTCTCTTCACTGTCCGATGAGATCGCCTCGATCAAGGAAAGCCGTTGGAAAGAAACCCGCACCATACACAAAGCTGCACAAAGCCCGCCCACACCTCGTTTCGCAAAGCGAGTGCCAAGCAGGCGCGGTTAAGCCCAGAGGTGTCCTTGAGCCCATTACCGGCGACAACGGATGGAACTGCGCCTCCACGAGGTGGAGAAAGGTCCTGCTGTACCCAAGATGCATGGCGCTGAATTGGCGAAAGGCCGACAAAGGAACCAAACAGCTTCGAGCCGCAAATCCGAATCGCCGCATCTCGGAGATAATCTGTGAAAGAACAAACTGTGGCTGTGCGTGGCATGGCGTGGCGCCTCCTCGTCGACTTCATAAAGCGCAGAGGCCTCGCGACAGCGCCCAGGACCGCTCGGCTCTGCTTCTCCAGAAGGCCCCACAGCGCAACAGCACAGCACCGCAGACGCGGCGGCGCGGCGCGTGTTGTATAGCGATGCCCTGATGTCTCTAGCGCGCACACAGCACCTTGACTTCGACCTGCTCACGTCAGGAAAGCTTCGACGGCCATTCTGGCAGCACGTGGCCGCCTCTTTCTCGGTTCTCTTCGCTCGGCTTCGCTCGGCTTCGCTAGGAGAGGCATGGGCCGAGCTGTTCTCAGTCGGGTCGGTCCGACGTGTCCAGAAATCTCAAGAGGGGAGTCCCAGAGTCTCCTCAGGACCTACCGTTCACCGTGGAGAGCACTTAGATCAAAGACCCACATGACATTAATGCCATGCGAAGTCAAGAGATCCTGCAGGCCAAGGACATCGCACACATCGCACATCCCACCCTTCCTCTATAGACACGGCCTCCGGTTCCGAAGGCTCCGCATCCGATCGCTCGAGGTCCTGGGCTCTGGAAGTGCTTTCTTCTGCCTTTGACTAAGCTTAGGCCTTCTCTTTTGACTACCCGGGCCAACTCTTGTCGAAGATGGGCGGTGCACTCAAGCCCTCTGCGCGAGCATGGAGCATTCCTGTGACCCTGTATGACCCTGTGAGCCTCCGCCGTTAAAGCTTCCTGGATAAAAGCAAGGATGTCCAGGCGCAGGGTCTATGCGGCCCCTAAGCTATCAACGTACTAGCGAATAGCCAAGCGGCTCCATTCTCCTCCAACAGGTCCTGAGGTGCACCTGCCTGCCGGGCAGAAGCTTGAAAGGCATACTATGCCACTTTGTGCCACTATGCCGTTCCGAAGCATGGGGCAACCGCCATATCCGCGCGGGACCATGCATCAAGCACTGAAAGGAAGGAGTAGTTCCTGACTTTGTTCAATCGACAACTTCAACGTTTCAGCATGCCTCAACTTGTGAGCAAACGGACCGCCTGAGGCCTGTGCCAAACACTGAAGAAGATGGAGGCACTGTGGTATAGCAACCTTATGCATAACACCAGCACTTCACGGCATGTCAGCTTCAGCTTGATGGCAAACACGAGTCTTCTGAGGTCCTGAGGCTCCTGGCAAGTCGGCCAGCTGCAGCTTCGAGAGCTCGTCTTGGAACCTCTCGGCTGTCGAGATCTTTAACAGGACTCTCCCTCAACCCCAAAGCTTAGGCTAGCGGCCAAAGCAATGAGTACACCTGGGCAGCACCAAAGACAAAGGCCAACCAGGCAAGAAACCCACCTTTGTAATTCACAAGCATTGTTCATTGTCAAGGCCCCGTTGCACGGAGTGTGAAAGGCAGGTGTTTCAGTAAATTCGACTTTTGCCAACAACTTGCACTGGGCATCGGCACATTTATCTTCCTGGCCTCTGGCCCGTGCGGGGACCGGCTGTCAGCCGGTTAGTCAGTTTCTGAGGAGCGTGCGTAGAGTGCAGTTGGCGCCCCGCGACCTACCACGAAGAAGCCGTACGTGAATCGCCTCGCATGACCGCAGGTCTCCTTCCCGACCCGAGCTACATGCTGGGTGCCCGTGCCAGTGCTCGCTGACGGAGCTCCGTTGAGACATCCACCTTCTGAAAGCGGAGAAAGAGAAAGAGCGGAGCGATTGCAATCGCTGGCGTTTTCGGCGCAGACTCGGCTGCTCGGCTCTGGCCTGGACCACGTGGATTGGTGCCCCGAAATCTGCGAGAGCTCTCGACGAGTCAAGAGCGGTACCTGCGCTCGGCGCTGCGCACTTCCGCTCTGCCACGCACGTGGCAGTGCCGCACCGGCAACTCGAAGAGGAGTGCAAGAGTTCCGACGCAGCTCGGCCCTGGTCACAGCGGCAGCTAGCGGCTAAAGGAGCGACTTGGAAACAGAACCGATCTCTTGATGCGAATATAACAGATAGGCTCCCTGACGGTGGAGGCAAAGGAGCGCGGCATACATCGCTGCAGCAGCCAAATGATGGAGCAGAAAGCCCTGAAGTCACGGAAAAGCTAAGGCGACAATGTCAAGGCAAGAGTCGAATCTTGCCTGGAAAAGAACTGTCAGAGGATCTCGAATTCCTGGAAGAGCCTCAAAACTCCAGTGGCACTGCGACTGCAACATGACAGCATCATCCCCGGCAACATGTACTAGGAAGAAACACGTGCTTCAAGAGTGATTAAAGATGCCTTGCTGTCCAGTCCTCCACCCAAAAAGCCGCTGCAACTGAGATCCTGCACCAACTTCTAGGATTGCAACATTAGGCTGTCACAACTCAAAGCAGTGCGTGTCCACGCGAGCCAGGAACTCAACAGTTGCACCTCCAAGAGACTTACAGTCCAATGCCCAAAGGCCATACTGAACACAACCTGCCAGGGAAAAAATGCGATCTCTTCGACACATCCGTGGTACCCTGCATCCCTGGTGTCTGCCTGGTGGAGCCAGCTGAAGTCGAGCAGAAAGTCCTGCGGGCGACAGTCGGAGAAGAGGCGCACCTGAACGTTGAGGCTCTCCTGTGATCGGATCATCAGCCCGACAGCAGCGACCTCAACCATTTCGGAACCACGATTGGGTCGAGTCTTGGGGCCCGAGGGCTCGGAGGCTCGGGCCAAGCTCAGCATACAGTAAAGCTGCCGGCGGCAGAGTCGCCTCAAATAGACCTTGCAAAAGGACGACCCATGGAACACAGACTCCACATTATTCTGAACACAGCTGGATGCACAGAGCGCTGTCTCTGGCCACCGTGCTTCGCCTGCAGTGACTGCTGTTCTCACAGTTCGTCGCACACTCTCGTGGCTTGGATTTTGCCTGAGGGTCATTGGCCATTACGCCTTGGCTTGTGCGCTCGCAGCTTCGGCGGTCCCCATCCGTTTGCCGAATCAACCAATGAAGCTTGGACTGCCTCGCTTACACTCTGCTTGTGCAAAGCAGCGTTCCAGCACGCCGGCAGGGACTGCCATTACGAAGTGGCAAGTAGCCCAAAACATGACCTGATACACTGATACCGTCTGCACCACTTTCAGGGATTGAACGCCCAATACTGCCCTGAAGTGCCGTCAAGCGACCCAAGCAAAGCAAAGGCCCACCTCCCCTCCTTCCGCATACAACCTGCCGGGCGGGGTCGTCACAACAGCGGATGCAACCCGGAAGTGTGCAGGGAACTGAATACTACTGTGACGGCATGGTCACAAACGATCCTTCCATGCAATTGATGCTCACTCGTAAATTGTTTTCCTAGTCCCTGTAATACATGCGCACACAATTTGCCTATTCGTGATGCTTGGCAGCAAGCTGTCTGTCGCTTGGAGGATGCGCTGGACGAAGCTGCAGCACTCATTTTGAAAGCACTGAACAAACCTGCCTGTCCGTGACCTGAATCGGCAGGGCAAAATGCAAGCAACATAACCCAAACTGCGCAGCCGCATCCAGAGTCTTACCATACATCTCGAAAACTTCGCTGGGAAATCTTAGCACCGTACCGTAGCCGCAACGCGAATATCGAGCTTGCACAAGCTGGGCTTCAGGCATGTGCTGTCATTGTCAATTCTTGCCTGGGTGTGCGCCACTCAACTCACAAGCCTAAAACATTACTTAATTGTGAGGCTGGTGCATGTAAGCAACCTTTTGCCATGAGTGTTGCACAGCATCTCTCCAAAGCAACTGGCTTGCTGTCAAGCATCTTGCCGTCGGCAGGCAAACCTGCCAGTTAAATCCACCTGTGAAAGGATGTTGGAAACCAAAAGGCAAGCAAGGCTCTGACGCTCACAGCAGCTTCGTATACTCTGCATTGACTCTGCATCACTTCTGGCCTCGACTCGGCCAGCTCTCCGTGGAGATGACAGCTGCCAAGCGGTCTTGCGGCGGGGGCGGCTGCTGGAAAGGCGAATCCTCGATCACTCCAGCCACTTGATCGCATTGATGACAAGCCACAACAACCCAAGACAAGGTGCCGTGGACAGCCAGGAGGGGATGGTGATGTCAGGTTCGCGATACCAGTCCTCGGCTCTCAAAATGTTTTCAAGCCCGTGTGGCGGAATGCCGAAGCCTCATATACAGAAAATCTAATACCACCACGTATCTGGAAATTGCTTCTCCTGGTGCTCACCTTCCTTCGCAAGCATTGTGTAACTGTTTTGCATGTTCATCAGCATGCAACGAGGCGCCTTCGCTCGAGTTTGCTCACAGCGGCGAAGTAGTTCCTGCACTGCAAGAGCGACATCTGCAACAAACAGATGATTTGGCACGATATTGACAAAACGTCCAAACCGCACCACATGTAAGACCCGCGGCGACCTCGAACTTGCGACTCAGCTCCCGCAACTCGGAATCGGTTGGCTCCTCATGGACTCAGACAGCAAGACTCACTCGTCGATCATTCGAAGCTGCCCGTTGCACTTTTTATGACGATCGCGGTGTCCTGCCCCACATTCGTGTTGCCGGCTGGGTGTGGGTTGGCCATGGCGAACTACAAGTCTTGATCCGAGATGTGCAGGAATAACGAACAATTATCATGTTGATAAAGGCCTTGTGCTCTTTTCCGTGCTGAACGTGCAGCATGTGAAGTTGAAGCGCTGTGAAAAAATGGAACCGCATCAGCATGTGCTGGGGTCTAGTCATAGTTTGATAGATGCCATGTAACGGTATCCGAAAAATTGCAACTAAACTCAGACGAGATCGGAAAAGAGAGCAATCTGTCGTCAAAAATGTTGTTGACACTCACATCGACATGATGTTTTCGAACTGGGACGGGCCACAAGGCCACAAGGTACATCCTGAAATTGACTGTTGATTTGGAAGAGCCGCTGGAATAACATGGGTGGAGAACGAAACAAGAAAAACAAATCCTCTATCGCAAATCATAGTACACTGGCTGTCCGAGGTGCTGCGTATGCTGCAAACGCCCTGGCGCTCGGCCGGGGCTGCCGGTTCACGGCCTCCGTCATCCGGCCGATCTCGTCGGTGTAAGATTCGCCCTCCTGCCGTAGCCGGCGGTTCGCGAGCCCTCGTTGAACTCGGGGCACTAAGCACCCTGGCTCAAACTTGTTTTTGGTAAGTGGTGGGCGTAGTTTTGCCATAGGCGTTGTCAGCTTGTCCCTTGCCTCTAACACGTCTTTTTCAGCAGCCGGCCTGGAGTTTTCAGCAAGCATCGGAAATCTGAACTGCATTTACACTTCTCTGGCTTGTTTGCAGAGCGTTTCCATTGCATCTGTCTTACATGCTGTACGCGATTTGGAGTGCAGTATTCTTTGCTGGAGTATGGATGATGCTGACACACAATCATATAAAGAAGAGGACATCGATTTGGATGGCCTGGTGTCTTTATCTGGGGCTAGCACAGCAGATACCATTTGCTATGGGGAGTGCTCAGAGTCTGATATGACGACGACGCAATCAACATCTCCGAGGATGGAAGCAGCTGCCATGCACCAGCCCTGGGCGAACAGCCTTCTGAAGCGGTTACAGACGCGCCAGATTCTGGAGATGCACGGCAGTCTTGCGGACGACTACCGCTCTCCCAAGTCATGGAGCCTGCCATGCTGGCGTGCTACGTGGAACTTGGTTCCATTCCGCGCTGGGCCTTGTCCGATCTTGGAACGCACGAGTGCTTTCGGCAGCACGCGCATCATGCTGAGGAACGTGCACAGGTGTTTGATCAAATCAATGCGGAACTGCGTACGCTAGATCTACAGGGAGTGCTGCAATTCTTTCATGATTTCCTCGAAGATGAGTACAGAGAGGCTTATTATGAGGGTGTCTTTCGACTTGTGTACTGGGCCCTCCGTGAGATGCCTGGAGTTATTACAGCGAACTTCCCTTATGATGCAGTTGGTGCCCATCCGGATGCAGATATGCCACACTACCTGCTCTGCACACATCATCAGGACATGCTCCGTCATCTGGGTACACGGCAGTGGATGGGACCATGGTTATTGATGTTTTGGATTCTTCGTCTACAGAAGATGGGCACGCATGAAGCTTTATTTGTTCGAGCGAATTTCATGCCCATGTTGTATTTTTATATTCATGGACAGTTTTCTGCACTCACGTGATTGGAGGTATATTTGCAATGCAAGGCAGTCAACACAGCAGCAGCAAAAATAAGGATATAGATGTGCCTAAATAAACGCGCAAGCAAATGAATGAACGATCCATGTTTGTCAACTGAATACGCCAAGCAACGCCAACTCTCAAACTCAAGAACTGCAACTCACCATAAGCACATTTATGCTCCTTGTGATGTGCTACTCAGCACAATGATGCCGATGTGCTGCACAGCACAATGTTGACATCACAACCAAAAGCTTTCACTGTCAAGAAATGCCATCCTAACGCAACTGGCAATGCGCCTCAACTCAAGCAACGATCAGCCATCACATTTTTCAAGTGGACCTCAAACCGATGGGACTTCAATCTAACTCAAGAGACAGGAGAAACAATTTTTTCCCATGATCCTGTCAATAGGACATCAAGAAATAACACACATGCTTACCAATGCCAAGCAACAACCGCAAAATCAGCAATCACAGTCAACAGGCGGACCAAGACCGATTTGGCCTGAAAAGCAATGAGAACAAGCTCCCACTCTGATCTTGCCACACGCTTCACGCACAACACCAGAGCAACACCAACTCCAAGAACAGCCAAATGTATCCGATCGGTTACTGAAATACTCACGAGCAACAAGCACTCAAGCTCACGCACAATTCAAAGAAACATCATGTAATTGAATGACGAACGTTTGCAGTTAATGAAAACTGGTCATCTGTCAAGACCTGATCTTAAACCAATCCGCTGCCAATCAATCGAAGACAACAGACCAAACAAAAGAGAATCAATCGTTCAAGGCAACCAACATTCCTAATGAGATACGTGCATCTTCCATCAGTAACCGCATCTACCAAGCTTCAAAGAATCCGTCGATTCAAAGATCAAGCAATCAAAGACTCACTGCAACTCAAGGGTCTCACCACAAATACTGCGCCTCAGTGTACATTCCACATACGTGAACCTGCCAATGAAAACAATCTTTCGAACAATGAATGAAGTCAATCAGCACAATCACTTAACATGCGGAACGTTTCATCAATCAATGGGAACAGGCTCCCATCTTGATTCTGCCAATATCAAGGCCAAACAAACCGGCCAATCGAGCACAACCAACTCCAAGCACAAGCAACTTCACGCAAACCACACGCAATGAATTCCACGAAGGTAATAACACCAAGTGCAATAGCTGCGAATAGCAACCAATCATGGCGTCCCTCGCAATGAGTCGCACCAACTGTTGTCCTTCACAGACGAAGTCAAGGGTTTAGGACAGAAGTCTGAAAAAGTCAGTTGGGTTTATGCTGATGGCAATCGCCGAACAGTTCATACAATCACACGATCTGAAGAGCATGCATCGCAATAACTTGCAAGAGATGTAAGGGTGCAATTATCTCAACTCTCATCCAACACAATTGCAAGAGATGTAAGGGTGGAACTGTCTCAACTCTCATCCAAACCAATCAAGATCACATGCGAACGATACGCAGTCAACTGGCGCGACCATGCACAATAAGCTCAGTCACAATAAGCTCGGAGTTCATACTCTCCGTCCTTTGAAGAGACAATGTCACGCTGCCGTCCCTTGTGGTGCAGTCCGCACATCTGAACAACTCAAGGCAAGACCACCAAGCATCACGCAATCAAAGGAGAACAGGCTACAAAAAATTAGCAACCAATCCAAATGAGAATAACATCAATCAGCTCACTCCAGTTTGCAGGCTGCCGTGGCCTTAAGCAATTCTGCGGAAAGAAATCTTTTGGATCAATGCTTTTTTGTTCACACATGCTTTCTAAAATCAAGACATTTGCGAAATCCATGTCGTCATGCTCATAAGAACCGCAAACAATGACTGGCAAAACACCAAGACAACGGTTACCAACACTCGCAACTCTTAAGCGACAGTCCAACCGAGTCCAATCCGAGTTTCACTGGCGTTTTACATGGTCGCAGCCAAACTGCTCTTGGAAACTTTCGCATATCAATAGCCAAGCTGTCCAAGCAGCTTGAACAACATCACGCGCTGGGAAGTACTGAAAAGTGGTTTGGAAACAACACTTTTAAAAATTACAACCAATCCTTGCCGCTGTAAACATGGGATGCAGCCGATGCAGCAAACACAGCTGCCATGTGCCGGCCAAGTCGCAGGCTGCACAGCACAGGAAATGCGAGCAAACGGCAGCAAAGCGCGGAAGGACAAACACGCCTCCCAATTCCGACTTCAAGACATAACTTCAACTCAAAGATCTATTTGCAAAGCCGTTTTCGCCTGCATGTAGCTTTTGAATGGTGTTCTGCCACAAGTTTGCCAGCAAGCCGTTAGCAAGACCATTCGATCACTTCCGGTCACCAACTCCAAGTGCAGCGCCAAGAACTCACTGCAATCTGTCACTAGAAGCTCACTGCAATGCATCACGAGACAAGCCAACGCATGCGACGGTTTGAATAGACTTGCACAACTCTAGCACTTAACGTAACTCGTTTTATCCGTT